TCTCATAATGGTATTTTGTATGGTTTGGTATCATGATATTACTGCTTCATAGAATGAGTTGGGAAGTTTCAGTATTAATATTTTGGGGGGGAGTTTGGGAATAATTGATATTAAATCTCTAAATGTTTGGTAGAATTCACTAGTGAAGTTTGTGGACATGAGCTTTGCTTGGTGAGTTATTTTTTATTATTAATACAATGTCTTCACTGTGATAGTTCTATTTATATTATTCATTTTTGTCTGGAGTAAGTTTGGGTAGTTCATGTTTCTAGGAATTTGTCCATTTCATCTAAATTATCTAATATATTCACGCTCCATTGTTCATATTATTCTTCTCTAAATATTTTCATATTTTTGTAATGTTTGTAGTCTCATCTTTCTTTTTTAATTTTTTGAGATGATCATAAAACAGCACCATCTTTAATTTCTGATTTTAGTTTAGTCTTCTGTCTGTTTTTTGCTTGGTCAGTGTAGCTAAAGGTTTGTTAATTGTGTTGGTGTTTTGTGAACTTGCTTTTGGTTTCATACTTATTCTCTATTTCACCAATTTCTGCTGTAATCTTTTACTTCTTTCCTTCTGCATACTTTAAATTCTGTTTGCTTTTCTTTTTCCACTGTCTTAAATGGAAGTTTAGGTTACTGATTTCAGGCCAGGCATGGTGGCTCAGGCCTGTAATCTCAGCACTTTGGGAGGCTGAGGCAGAAGGAACAGCCTGGGCAATATAGTGAGACCCCTATAAATTATAATCATAAAAAAACTCATGTAGGCCGGGCGCGGTGGCTCACGCCTGTAATCCTAGCACTTTGGGAGGCGAGGCGGGCGGATCGCTCAAGGTCAGGAGTTCGAAACCAGCCTGAGCGAGACCCCGTCTCTACCAAAAATAGAAAGAAATTAATTGACCAACTAAAAATATATATACAAAAAATTAGCCGGGCATGGTGGCGCATGCCTGTAGTCCAGCTACTCGGAGGCTGAGGCAGTAGGATCGCTGAGCCCAGGAGATTGAGGTTGCTGTGAGCCAGGCTGATGCCACGGCACTCACTCTAGCCTGTGGCAACAAAGTGAGACTCTGTCTCAAAAAAAAAAAAAAAAAAACCTCTATGTAAATATAATCATTAAAAAATTAGCCGGGCATGCCTGTAGTCCCAGCTACTCAGGAGGCTGAGGCAGGAGGATTGCTTGAGTCCAGGAGTTTGAGGTTGCTGTGAGATAGGCTGACACCACGGGCCTCTACCCTGGGCAACAGAGCGAGATTGTCTCAAAAAAAAAAGACATTTAAAGCTGTAAGTTCCACCTAAGCACTGCCTTAGCTGCCTTCCAAATTTTTTATATATTGTCTTATATTCAGCTTCTCTGTATTTCTAATGTCACTTTCATTTCTTCTTAACCCTTTTGCAATTTTTAAAGTGTGTTGTTAATTCCACATGTTTAAATTCCCTGCTGAGCAGAGCGCGCTCTCGGGGTTGGGGGGATTGCGACCTGGGTGATGCAAGGCGTGGCCAGGTCCAGGGACAGGACCGTCTTTGTTGAAGCCACGGTCTCCTCCTTCGAGCCAAGGCACAGCGGGTGAGGGGCGCTCGCCGTGGGGAGGCGGGGACTTCCCAGGCCCCAGAGGCTCCACGCAGGCAGGGCTCCTTTCTGGTTCCCGCCTGGCTGCAGAGCCAGTACTGGCCACCAGGGGCGGCAAGTGCCCGCCGTGCGCAAGTGCGCCCCTGGAGCCGGGAGCCCCCAAGGTCGCTCCCCCGCCTCTGCCTCCGCCCGGCCGCTCACTCGGCACTGCCCAGGCGCGGCACGCGGGCCAGGGCCCTGCCCCACGGGTCCCAGAACCTCCAGCCGGCAGGAGCCTGGGGAGAAAGGGGTAGGCAGGGTGAGGGGCCCTGCGCCCCGAGTTCCTGCCCCAGACCTGCTGGCTCTTGGGGTCAGCCCGAGGACCAAGCTTAGGCCGAAGGCTTAAAAAAAAAAAAAAAAAAACCAGCTATGTAAACCCCAAATCCACAGTGCATGATGGTGCTTGGGTCTATGTGTCTGTCTCTGCTACTGCAACAGGAGATCCCTGGAGCCAAGACGGTGTCTGGTCACAGGTGACCCACAGTGTACCCAAGCCAGCCCTCTACACCAAGCAGCGGTGTGACGGAGAAGAGCCGAGGTGCTAGTGCTTCTCATGCACTCTGGATTGGCCATGGCAATCACAGAGGCCTGAATTCTATCTCTCTCTGCCTTTCTAAGCTTGATATATACACAAGCAAGACAAGAATACAACTGTTTGCTAATTTACTCAACGTCAATCAAGCACCTACTCTGAGCCAGCTGGTGGTGTCACTAAAATGGTTTCTGCTCATGAAAAGATATGGACCTTCCCAAAGAGCAACACTTCCAACCATGCTGAAGACAGCTGCCTTTCTTTTAAATTGATTGAAATTCCTAACTGGGAAAAAGAAGAACTCCTCTTTGTGCAGGAGGGGCTACCACCAGGTTCACACCTCTAAGCTCATGCAGGACTAGGGACGGTGGTGCCATAGCCAGCACCCGTTTACCTGCACAGGTGCCAGTCTTTGAGGTAGAGACAGCCTCTGGGAGAGGAGTAGCCCCCTTGGATGTACTCTTTCCAGTAGGTGATGTAGTCTCTGAGGGGCATGTGTTCTTTGGGGTTCGAGTTGTATTCCTGGACCCCGCAGTTTGCAACAGGCACAACCACATCTCCTGAAACAGAAGGGTCAGGCACAGACTGTGCTGAGAGTCCTTCACGCTGCCAATCCCCTGGGCTCCATCCGCCCTCCAAACCGTTTGTAGAGGAAATCTCCAGGGCGCCCGGGACTCTAGGCACCTGCTGTGATGCCCATGGTTTGCCCCTGTCCCGGGAGTCTGGACCTGGGCTCTGATGACCCTGGCCCAGGTTGCCTCATTCCCGGGGATCTGGACACTGGCCCCGCCACCCCGCCCTCACCGTAGGCCTGCAGCAGGTGGTCGAAGTCCGGCCTGCCCGCGGGAGTCACCCAGCGCCGCCGGCCGCCCCAGCCCTCTGTAAAGGCGGCGGAGAACACGCAGGGCAGGTTGGGCAGCAGGAAGCCGCGGACGAAGTCGGCGTAGGAGAAGGCGGCAGGCTCCGGGATGAAGGCCACGCGCCCCTGGGCTTGACCGCCGCCCCCGCCGCTTCGGAAGTGGCGCTCGGCGAGGGAGCGCGTCTCTCGGTCCATCCGGCCCGGCACAAGGTGCTCTGGGGCCGCTGGGGGAACCCGGCCCGGCGGGACGCCGGCGCCCGAGTCGCGCTCCGCACATCCGGCCAAAGCGCAGAGTGCAGGCGTTGGCACGGAACCTAGAGCTCGAGGGCGCCGCGTTTCCCCCGGACCCGAACCCCGGGTGCCGCCCAACACGCATGCGCAAGGCTCGCCGCGGCCCCGCCCCCCCGCGCAGGCGCCAAGCGCTCCGAGCGCCGCCGACCGGCTGCGGTTTGCGACCGGCGTCAGTGTTTGTACACGGGAGCCGCGCGGAGACCCTCTGTCTTCGAGCCCTCCGCGGCGCCTGAGGAGAGTGAGGCGGTAGGGTGCGGTGGGCCTGTGACCGAGCCCTTCCCGCTCTTCCTCAGCACAGTCTGCCCGCTGTGGCTGACACGGTAGGAGCCCTCGGCTTCCCGAGGCCCGGGGGCTGGGGGTAGGGGGTAGGAGGTGGGCTGGGCCGAGAAAGGGGCAGAGGGCTGGAGGTGGGATCCTGGGGCACAGGTGTGGGGTGACGCTGGGGCCGCAGGGGGATGCTGGGACCTAGGAGGGCTGTGGGGACCTGAAGGGGATAGTGGGGTCTGGAGGGGATGCTGGGGCCCTGGAGGGGACGATGGGGCCCTGGAGGGGACGATGGGGACCTGGAGGGCATGCTAGGGACTGGAGGCGGTACAGTGGGGACCTGGAGGGGCGGTGGGGACCTGGAGAGGATATTGGGGCCTGGAGAGGATGCTGGAGCCTGAATGGGATGCTGGGGACCTGGAGGGGACACTGGGGTTTGGAGGGGGTGGTGGGAACCTAGGGCGATGGCAGGTGTCTGGAGGGGCAGCAGGGAATGTGAGAGTGCCTGAAATAAAGGTGTGGGGCATGAGGGCATGGATTTGGAACGGGGCACACATCAGCAGGTCTGAAGTGGAGGGACCTCTGAGGGTGATGTTTTTTTGTCCTGCCAAAACTGTAATTGGAGTATCCCTAAAAGTGGTGGCAGTGGAGTTCCCATAAAGGAGTACCCTTGACCCTCTGGAGATGGGGAAGGTTGGGATTCTTCAGAAAGAAGCCCTGAGTGCCAGAGTGGTCAGTCCAGAGCGTTTATTAGGGAAGCTTGCACATAGAGGTACTGCTGTTCATCTTTGCCGTGGACGGTGAGAAAAAAGGGGTGTCCTACCTAGGTGTGGGCTGGGGGTCAGGGCGTGGAGTTAAGGAATTTGGCTCAGGCAATTTCTTTCTAGCCAACCCACATACCTTTACCAGTGCCTGGGAATGTTCAAGGCCCTGGTTTGGGGGAAAACCTGCAGCTGGCCAGGTCACGGAGCAGTCAGGTCACTGTGATTTTCGGTCAAGACGCAGAAAGAAAGTTGGGGGAACTGAGCGACACTAGAGGGAGTTGTCTCAGTGTGTGACAGAGTCATGTTAACTCAAACCTACCCACATTAATGCAGAGAAGAAGAAGGATTTGTTACTGCGTAAGCCCGGCATCACACATGAGGGCTGTCTGCAGGAGAGTATAGGGGGGTCTGGACAGCCTTACACAATGGAGTAGGAGGAAGTACAATGAAAACCTCTCTCACCTCCTGGAGAGAAACTTGATGCACCTGTGTTAGGCTTCTGCACCCAGCGAAAGATCTCTGGGTCAGTTTTGGAGGTCTGTGTTGATGGTCTGAGGGTCGGCAGGCCGAGGCTGTGCCTTGTAAGATCTGGAGACCAGATTGTCTAATTCCTGACCAGGAGGAGACATCCTAGGGCATGGGAGGGCAACTGCCTTCCCTTTATCAAGCGATGCAAATGTTTTATTCACCCTTGTGGGCAAGCAGGGATAAGAGAGGTCCTGGGGTGTTGGGACAATTTCCAAGGGGTATGAAGTTTACCCAGAAGGAGGACAGGGAGGATGGGGTCTGGAGTGTTGAGGGGGCGGTGGGGTGGGGTAGAGAGTTGCTGGTGGGGTTTGTGTGATTCCCTGTGTGCTGTGGTTCCTTCCTGGTGGGTTTCACTGTGACTTGTGTGGTCAAGGTGTGGAATTCTTTATTGGGTTAGGTGAATGAGAATGCTTGGACAAGTTGAGATTGAGAAAAAATCACCCATAATCCTATCCACAGAAAACTTTTTTTTAAAAAAAACATGTTTTAAATAGGTTTAGGAGATCAAATGCAGTTTTGTTACATGGATATATTGCCTAGTGGTGAAGCCTGGGCTTTTAGTGTACCTACCCCAATAGCGTACAGCATACATACCCTCGAAGTGATCGCATATTCTTTCTCCCTCCCCCACCACGTCTTCACTGTCCATGGTTCCACACACTGCTTCCGTGTTCTCTCTTATAGGTGAGAACATGCAGTGTTTGACTTTCTAAGTTATTTCACTTAAGATGGTGACCTCCAGTTTCATCTATGTTGTTACAAAAGACATGATTTCTTTTTTATGGCTGGATAGTATTGAGTGGTGTATATATGCCACTTTTTTTTTTTAAAGAGACAATCTCTGTCATCCAGGCTGGAGTGCAGTGGTGTCATCATGGCTCACTGCAACCTTGAACTCCTGGGCTCAAGTGATCCTCCTAACTCAGCCTCCTAAGTAAGCTAAGACTATAGGTATGTACATGCCACCAAGCCCAGCAAATTGATTTTTTGTAGAAATGGGGTCTTGCTATGACACCTGGTTTGAGACCCGGCTGATCTCAAACCCTTGGCCTCAAGGGATCCTCCTGACTCAGCCTCCCAAAGTGCTGGGATTACAGGCCTGAGCCACTGCAGTCAGCCTCTGTTTTCTTTATTCAGTCCTCTGTTGATGGACGCTTAGATTGAGTCCATATTTTTGCTATTGTGAATAGTGCTATGATAAACATGTGAGGGCAGTTATCCTTTTTTAATGTATTTATTTCTTTTCCATGGGATAGATACCCAGTGGTGTGGTTACTGGATTGAATGGTAGTTCTATTTTTAGTTCAGAGAAGACCACTTTATTTTCTGGTATATAGTTTACCTTTTCAGGTACGCATTCATGCATGCATTTGTTCTACTTGTCTGTGCAAGTATTCTCGCTTCCCCCCTGCTCTCCACTCAGTCCCTCCCTGTGTGTGCACATACAGGTGCACATGCACACACGCATGGTCTCTCTGTCTCCACACCGTGTACAATATATGTATGTAAGCTTGCTGTTTTTAGCCTTTTTTTGCTTTTTCAATCTACAATATCCTCTGCCATCTTGCCGCATACTGCCCAGATGCCCCTTAATTATTAATTGGGTGTTTGATTTCAGCTGTATTGTGTATAGATGTGGGAGGCAGATGGGAAGGAGGTCAGAGCAGAGTGTTTTGTGTCATCTCAGGAGCTAGGAGGTATGGCTGGAAGTGCACGTCGTGGGAAGTATGAAATTCAGATAGGCATTGCCTGTTTCCTGGGAGGAGTTCCTGCAGCTCTGTGGTCAAGACCCAGTTTCCTGAGAAAGGGGAGGTTGGGCCCAAGACCACAGGGGCACAGAGCCTGTGACTCTGGGAGGGAGGTGGAGGCTGGTTTCTCAAGCACTCCCTCTGGGCCAGATACCGTGTGCTTTATTCCCCCGGTCCACACGGTGGCCCTGTGGTGTCAGGATCACCACCGTTGTACTCCAGAGGCATTACTGGTACACAGGTGTGTGTCACCCTGAGGCCTATAGAGCAGCCCTGGGAGCTGGTGAGACGTGAATATTCTGGGCCCCACCCAGCCCCACAGAATCCAGCCCTTGGGGCAGGGCCAGCTGGAAAGAGGACAACAGCAGGGGCTTACAGTCAGCACTTGGGGGGGGTGCAGTGGGAACGGTGGGGAGCCTGTGCTATCCTGTAGCAACCCTGCCGGCCTGTCAGAGCCGCCAGGGCCGGAGCTGGGAACCTCTGAGGGAGTGGGAGGCGGGTTTGGGGAGCAGGAGGGCAGGTCATGGAAAAGCCGACAGCGCCCGCCGCCCCCGCCGTGCACACACAGCTGCCACTGTTCTTGCTCGGAGCCTTCTTGTGGCCGTCAGCTCGTGGAAGGTGTGCAAAGTGTTTCTTGTTCTTTGACACTGGAAATTAACTAAAAATAGGTTGTTTACTCGACACTGGGTCTCACTAAGGGGGCACATGAGTGATGGAAATGCTGAAAGAGATCTATTATGCAAATCGCCATGCATGAAGGGTGCAGTCCAGGTGACCGTGGACTCCTTCCCCGAGAGCGTCACTCATGTGGGTTGACCTCAGACACCCTCCACCCCGTGCTGTGGCTTCGCCCTGTGCTGTGGCTTCCCTCACTGATTCCGCTGGGTGTCCTCAGGGCCAGGGCAGGTCCCCAGGCCCACATCTGCACTGGTGGAGGTGGGCTGCAGATTGCAGCCTGCAGGGACCAAGTGAGGACTCGGCATGCATCGCACAGCAGGCAGCATGTGAGGGAGGGACATGGTCCTGGGTCCTCGTGATGTGACTGTGGCCCACTCAGCACGTGATCACCAGGTGTCTGGTGTATCGGCATCATGTATAAGACCCCTTCTGTGGCGGTCCCCTTCTCTAGTGGGACAGCCGTGGGAGCACACCTAGGCTGTCTGGTGCTGTGAGTGCTGTGGTTGGTGACAGTGCATTAGGAAGGGTGAGGGCGCCATTTGAACACAGACCTGGGGGGCACAGAGGAGAGGTTTAGGCGGGAGGTCCTGCATCCTACAGAGCCCGTTAGGCCATGGCAAGGAGCTTGGGTTTCACTCCAAGTATGTAGAGGAAGGCTTCTGGCAGAGGAGTGACCTTTTCTTTCTTTTTTGTTTCTGTTGCCCAGGCTGGAGTGCAGTGGTGTGATCATAGCTCACGGTAGCCTCCAACTCCTGAGCTCAAGTGATCCTCCTGCCTCAGCCTCCAGAGTAGTTGGGACTACAGGCATGCGGCACCACACTCAGCTGATTTTTCTTATGTTTTGTAGAGACAGGGTCTCACTGAGTTGCCCAGGTTAGTCTCAAACTCCTGGTCTCAAGCCATCCTACTGCCGTGGCCTCCAAAAGTGCTGGGATTACAGGGGTGAGACACTGTGGTGTTATGACACACATATATATACATATATATATATGTATATTTTTTTTTTCATGGTTCCTGGCTCATAACTCCTGTTGTTACTCCCTAGTTAGTCTTTTGTTATGGTGTTGGTGTGTTAGACCTCAGGAAACAGAATCTCTGCAGCTTCCCCACCTTTCTGATTCTGGATCGTAAGACTGTCATTCCAGAGAGGGTATCCCAACGGTCATCACATTTCCACAGGGTCATCCATAAAAACCCAGGAGAACAGGGTTCAGAGGGCTCTGGATAGCGGAGTGCACGGCGGTGCCTGCAGTGTGGCTGTGCGGGGACAGCGTGGGAGCTGCGCCCCGCCCCACGCTCGCCCTGCCTGTCTCTCGCCTGCGTCCTTCGGAATATCTT